GCATCTCTGGCTGTACAAGCATCTTTACTTCCAGAAAAATTCCCTTCTGCTTGAGGCAGGATGGTTGACACTGTCCAAGGGTTTGACACTCCTTTCATTATGGCTCTTGATAATAACAGCCAAACCCCAGTTTACAAATCTCACGTAGACTGAGGGCATCAAGGAGGTTTAACTCAAAATCATTTGGGTTTGCAGAAAGTGAAAGGACACCAAATTTTTATGTTCACTCACATTTGCCTTGAACTCTGGGCAATACAAAGCAGGTTTAGCAAAGGAGAATTTCTTCCTTTCAAAGGAATTGTGACCAGATGCAGAATTTTAAGGGGAGAGGAAAGAAGCCCCTGGAACAGTCAGATGTGCATTGGATGTTGCTGCCATTGTCTGTGTGTGTCTTTGCTGTTGGTGCCTGTGGGGTTTTGTTTTGGTGCAGTGCCAGGTCCAGCAGGGTCCTGTGTTGTGCAGAGCTTCTGAGAATGTCTCCACTTCTGCTTTCATTTTCTGTTCTAATTTAAGTTTTCTCACTGCTTTGGCATCTTGCTTAGGTACCTCAGTCCAAATAAACTGCTCTGAAATGCAGCCAGAAGACCTTCCTTCTATATGTGGACAATCCTGGAGTACTTATGGGTGTATTTTTCCCCATCCAAGCTTATCATCCTTTTAGAAGTAAATTTGAATTGTGATTACAAATCAAGTTGAACACATCCCTGCTCATTGCAGGAGGGTTGGACTAGATGACCTTTAAAGGTCTCTTCCAAAACAAGCCATTACAAGATCTCTGTAATGCTTCCAAATCTCACTTTTCCTGTGATAGAACTTTGATTCTGTTGGATGAAAATAATTTGCATAAATCTGTGTTTTGGGTACCATCACTCCTGCACACGAGATTCTTTGAGAGTGGCCCACATAGATGATTAAGTGACAATAATTACATTTCTTTCCCATTGGCAAGCAGTAGGAAGAGAAAAACACAGTGACCATGGAAAAGGAAGATGATAAAATAAGAGGGTTTAGTGTTATGTAGATTCTGAAAGGAACTGACATGTGAAAAGGCACAATGATAACCAAGATGTTGAGCTTCCACCTGGGTATTCCTCCTGTGTGTAGCTGGCACAGATGTGTCGGTCTGGTGTCACTTTTGATATCACCAAGGTATTATTTTGGGTACCAGCAGCACAAGTCTATTGGCTGTCACAGGAGAAACATCTTGTGCCCACAGATTCAAATTAAGCAGTGAAGTGTGTTTAGATTGGCAGCCAAGAATTAGTGCCCTGCATGGTGTGTTGGGAGGTGCTGGTAGATGGATTGGGGAGAAAGTTTCCCTGTTTCTGGAGTCCCTTGCCAGGTTAGGGGATGTTATAATAAACTCAGTGAACTTTGCTTCCAGAATTGCCCCTTTAGCAGCCTCAATGCTGACACTGATCCCTGTTTTTTCCAAATCATTCGGTATTTGGCAAACTCTGCACATGATTTCAGGCTTTAGCTGTCACAGATTATTTATGCCGGGTTTGGATGCTTCCAGTGGACAGTTTGTTTTGGATTTTTGCCACGTGCTGCTAAGGCTGTCCCTGAAAATGAACATATTGAGGCTGGTCTTTCTGAATGTGTATTAAACTGTGATCATACAGAAAAAGATAATATAGAATGTAAAAATCAACCAATATTTACTGTTTAGTGTCTGTACAAAGCCTAATTAGCAAACAAAGTTTTCATCTTTTTCTGTCAACCTGCTAATAATCAGATGATTATTGTCAGTTTTATCAGAATCCTCTGAGCCTTCTCCTTGGAAATAGTAATTGATTTTATTATGTAGGAGAACCCAAGTAAAATATCGGTGAACACAAGTAATATAATTAATTTGTAACCATGTTTTGAGATTGTGGGGTTTTTTTATGTTGGAAATAAAATTATGTTGGTGTAGTAAAATTGAGCAAAGTCAGCATTCAGGATTAATTTGAGAAGAATCTTCATTCAAACCTAGAAAATGGAAGAGTATATAGAAAATATTAGGATGAAAGTCTATGGTCAGAGGGCTGAAGCCAGGCTGGGAGAGCTGAGGGTGCTCACCTGGACAAGAGAAGGCTCCAGGGAGAGCTCAGAGCCCCTGCCAGGGCCTGAAGGGGCTCCAGGAGAGCTGGAGAGGATGTGGGACAAGGGATGGAGGGACAGGACAAGGGGGAACAGTTTTTAACTAAAATGGAGATATTTAGATTGGATGTTAGGAAGAAGTTTTTTCCTGTGAGGGTGGAGAGGCCCTGGCACAGGCTGCCCAGAGCAGCTGTGGCTGCCCTTGGATCCCTGGAAGCTTTCCAGGCCAGGTTGGATGGGGCTTGGGGCATCTTGGTCTAGTGGAAAGTGTCCCTGCCCATGGCAGGGGTGGAATGAGATGAGCTCTAAAACCTCTTCCAGCTCACACCATTCCATGATTCTGTGTTTACTTCGAATGCCATAAATGTTTCCTTTCATAGGTATGCAGAGTCCATGAATTTTTGGCCAGAGTGTTCCCAGGAGTTTGCAATAGGCAAACATGTATAAATGACTGAAGTGTAGCATCATTTTTATATGTTCATCTGTAAATGTAGGCATGTAATAACTCAAAAGGCCTTAAATTAAAATAATGCATAGAGCAAGTATTAATGGGTGAACCAATACAAACTTTGTGCCATTCTTTTCATGATACCATTTAATGTTTTGTCTAAATGCAAATATATTAATTTTTAAAGTAATAAATTAGCTTATACAAGAGCCTGCTGGAGTGGTTGTTGTTAGGAGAACCTTTCTCCCTGATATATGCTAATTACCTTAGGATGGATATTTCATTGCACTATTTTCTCCAAAATGCTTTGGAAAAGCCAACTGCATGCACAAGGTGTGTTGGGTTGGAGCAACCTGGGACAGAGTGTTGGATGCTGAGCCAGGGCCAGGCTCATGCACAGCAGGGCATGGAAGACCACAACCCATTAACTTCATTAACATTGCTTTGACCTCCCTCAACACTCTGAGCCATGTTTGAGGTTGCTAGCAGTAAACCCCGTGGCACCCCTGGGATTTACAAGGCTCGAATTAACACCCCGTTGCTTTCTGATCTTGGAAGCTTCTGGTCTTTGAGTGGTTTTGTGGGGAGGACTTGGCTCTTCCATGTCCCAGAGCTGCTGAGGCTTTCAGCATCTCCATGGAGTTCATGCTTGGCTTGGAACCCTGCTGGATTCAAGTTGTTTGGATGCAGAAGGCACAGGTGTTTGTTGTTACCAATTCCATGCAGAATAAACATCTCTAGAGATGTTTGGGTGGGGTGGAGTGGCCTGGTGCTTTATAGTGTATTTATTGAGTGTGCAGGAGGAAGGAGGCAAGGTCAGTTTGCTCAAGGTAAGCAACTTAAAGTCCTATTTGCACTTCTCACGTGAGTCAGCAGTCTTGGATATGCTCTGATAACATCAATAAAAATAGCCAGTCCTTTTGGCCTCAGCTTTGAAGTGAAATCTGGGTGAGAAATTACCGAGCTTAAGTATAGTGGGGGGTTTGTTTGCCCCTTCTTGGTGAAAAGCTGCTGCTGAAGTTGCAGAGCTACACGAAGCAAGCCCAACCCAGCACTTCCCTGACATCATCCCTGTTGCATCTGTGCCTGTAGCAAAGCTATAGGAAAGCAGCTGGAACACTTCCCAGTGTATAATGTATGTCCTGCTACCAAGCAATGCGCCGTGAATCTCTGCCAGATGTATTTCACTGGGACATATTCATTTCTGTGCTTTGAAGTGCGCGTGGCTGGGGATAATATACTTAATGAAATATTGGAGCGAGAAACAATACAGCATAAAATAGTGCTGTTCATTTGAGGGCCTCAGAAATGAAACAATTCTCCAAATCCCAGCCTTGGAGTGGATGCAGAAGATGAGGATGTCTGTACTTGGACTGAAGGTCCTGGATCTGGAAACCTGGGGGAGACTACAGGAACAGGGTGACCAGTGAAATGCTTTCCTTGAATACTCTTCCCAGCATCAAATATCTGAAGTTCCCTAAACCTGTTGTGGGTTTTGACTTAATGTTTTTTTGACTCTTCTTGACCATTTTGTTGATGCCAGGAGGGAACTGTCATAGTTGTGGGGTCTTGCTCCAGTGGGGCAGTGCTCAGTGAAAAGCTCAACGTTACAAATAACATTAGGATGTGTGTCATGTAAGCTTTAATCTGCATGAAGTGTCACTTCCACCTGATTGCCCAGATCCTGGTTCTGAGGGTCCTGTTTTTCTCCCTAGTTCCCTTTTGTTTTTCTTTTGGAATAACTCTTAACATCTTCCAGGGCAGTTTGGAGTTTGCTAGAATTGGTAGAGAGCCGGGGCCCTTTAACTCTGAATTTGCTTTTATCTGGGGCTGCTGGTGGTATGTTATCTTCTTGTAGTGATGAAATTTGAGAAATCAGCTGTACATTTGATGTTTCATTGCCAGAGATATGGGTTTGTTTGGTTTTAAGCAGTACAAGAGAAATAAAAAGTGCGATGTAGGCAACAAAGGAGTTGGTTGCAATAACTCACATCCAGTGTGAGATATGGACGTCTCTGAAAAAGGGTGACTTGTTAGGGGAAAAAGTTCTGCTGGTTAAATCATCATGGGTTCAAAATCTCCTGGACAGGAAGGAAAGGAGTTTATCTCCTCTTCACTGGCACAGGACTGTGAAAAAATGCATCTGTAAGAAGGGCCGGGTGTGCAGGGGAAGGTGATGGTCATTTTGTTTTAGCAGCTAAATTTTTTGGTGCTGAGTACCATGCACCCATGGGATTGATTCAGGAGGTTGCCTGGTGTGTTGCTCACAAAATTTTCACTGAAAGTCAGAGGGTGTTTCTGATACTTCAGATTGGGGGCAAAATTAACAAAAGCATGAGGTGCTGTGGGAGTTACATCTGAGTAGGGGGAGTCCGTGTAGTGTTTGGGTGTTGAATACCTTTATCTGCTACAGCTTTGGGGTATTTGTAGGATAACACCTAACTGGTTTTATTTTGGTTTTTTTCAGCCTTGCTAACATGATGACCTGACAAGATAGAGCACAGTCCTGACTATGCAGCACAGGGACTGATGGGAAAGGATCCAATATGAGTGTAAATGATGTTGGAGGCAGACGACGCTTTGAGGATAGCGAGTACACGCTGCACATCTACCCCGGGAGCATCGCCGAGGGGACAATCTACTGCCCCATCACCGCCAGGAAAACGTCCACGGCCGCCGAGGTGATCGATTCGCTCATCAACAAACTCCAGCTCGAGAAAACAAAATGTTACGTCTTGGCCGAAGTGAAGGAGTTTGGAGGGGAGGAATGGATCCTCAACCCCACGGACTGCCCGGTGCAGCGCATGATGCTGTGGCCGCGCATGGCGCTGGAGAACCGGAGCAGCGGCGAGGATTATCGCTTCCTGCTGCGGGAGAAGAACCTGGATGGCTCCATCCACTACGGGAGCCTGCAGTCCTGGCTGCGGGTGACGGAGGAGCGGCGCAGGATGGTGGAGCGGGGCTTCCTCCCCCAGCCCCAGCAGAAGGACTACGATGACTTGTGTGGTTTGCCAGACCTGAACGAGAAAACGCTCCTGGAAAATCTCAGAAACCGCTTCAAGCAGGAAAAAATCTACACCTACGTTGGCAGCATCCTCATTGTTATTAATCCCTTCAAGTTCCTACCTATTTATAACCCCAAGTATGTGAAGATGTACGATAACCATCAGCTGGGGAAGCTGGAGCCCCACATTTATGCTGTGGCAGATGTGGCTTACCATGCTATGCTCCAGAGGAAGAAGAACCAGTGCATCGTGATTTCGGGAGAGAGTGGCTCGGGAAAGACACAGAGCACCAACTTTCTGATTCATCACCTCACTGCCCTCAGCCAGAAGGGATTTGCCAGTGGAGTAGAACAGATTATTCTTGGAGCTGGCCCAGTGCTTGAGGTAAGATGGAAATGATAGTGTGGAAATATTTTAACGGTGAAAAAAACCAAACCTGAGTAGTTGGGATTTTATTGTGACACTTAACTCTGTGGTTATCTGCTAAATACTGATAATAAAGTGTCAACAGTGTTATCAATGAGAGAAGGTTGTTTCCACCTATAGAATATTACCTGCTTCAAAAAAAAAGAGGATAAAAACAAAAATATAGTAGATGGCTTGCTGCCAAATTTGTTCATGCTTTGTATTCACTCAAGTGTTTCTCAATGCAGGTTTATCTTGGTAGTTTCTCAGTGGGAAAATGGAAATGAGAATTATCAGTGGCAATTTTCTAGTATATTGAAAAGAGAATTCATTGCACACAACGTATTGATAATGTTGTATTTATGGAGTTTCTGTGCAGTCAGCTTCTTTGAGCTGGGAAAGAAATCAAAGGTAACTTTCGTGGTCATATTTGTGTTTTCTAACCATGAGTGCTTGATTTGGCCACTTACTGGTTACTTTGAGGACTCTTCTTGTGTATTAGAGGTTAGATAAATTTGGCCATCAACTTTTCAGGTATGAAACTCTGAACTGGGATACCAGCATTCATTAATTAATGTCATGAGTTTGCCCCATAGTCTTTGAGATGGTTTTCTTTGGAATTGCTAGCTTTGCTGGTTAGAATTTTGTTGCTTAAAGCCCATCTGCTCATGGGTGATGTGTCAGCTGCAGCTGTGCCATTGTCCTTGGAAGCCATGATACGTGGAGGTGGTTTGGTGCCTGCATCCTCTCCCTCTCCCTCTCTGGAGCTGATGAGCAAACATCAGACCAGGCTCCCATAATTAGTGGTGGTTACTGTGGTGACCCACATTGCTGACCACATTAATTTCAGAAAACTGGTATGAAGACTGTTTGTTGCATTCCACCTCCAGTTCTGTTATTCTACCTGCAATCCTGTTATTTATTTAAAACACTTCCATGCTCTTCAGTTTTTGATAGGTTGTTTAATGTGTCATGTTGGACCAAGGTAATTTTGTAGTTCTCTTTAGCAGTGTCAGAGGGAGCATCTCTGTCTAGGTTAGAATTCTGGGCGTGGGGAAGAGAGATCTCTGTGAAATGGAAGGTAAAAGGAAGTTTGGGGAATGGTGTTTTTCTTAGATTCTGCTTTTCTCAGGAATAGGTCTACTTGCTTGGTTCTTCGATGGAGAGAGGCATGACAAATGGTTTGTTGGGAATCCTGCTCTGGTGGTGGCCACTCTCTTCTGGGAACCATTCACAGAATGGTTTGGGTTGGAAGGGATCATCCCATTCCTCCCCCTGCCATGGGCAGCAACACTTTCCTCTATTCCAGGTTGCTCCAAGCCCTGTCCAACCTGGCCTGGCACACTTCCAGGAATGGGGCTTGGATCTTTTCTGCTTAACCTGTGCCAGGGCATCTCCACCATCACAGGGAAGAATTCCTTCCTAATTTTTATTATTATTTTCCTTTAAAAAGCAGCTTTGTAGTTCCTCTCCTTGGTCTCCTTGGTTCCCTTTCCTCTAGAGGAGGTTGCTCAAAGCCCCAGTGTCTGGCAAGTTGTGTGTGTTGGGATGAGGTGGAGGGCAGGGATGCACTCCAGCCTTTTGTTTTCCTTTCGCAAGATCTGCAGCTGTTTTTGAGGGAAAAAAATCCTGAATCATATCTGTTATTTTTTTTTTTTTTCCTGTTGGAACAGAAGTTTGCATTCCTTCACTCCGGCAGCTGGACGGCTGCTGTTGTGCTGTGTCTGCTTCCAGGCCTCTTGGAAAAAGTGGGGGTAATCCAGAATTTCTTCTGCTGTGCCAGCACTGGTCCCAAATAGTCACAAATCAGGCAGCCTGAAAGATAAAGTGGCTATATTTCTGCTTTTCCTTCTCTTTCTAGAACTTCCCAAGAAAGGGATCTTGACAGCAGAGCTTTGGGTTGCATTACTCTGCAAAGCATTTGCAGATTTGACCTTTTGAGTTGTGGTTGAAATAAATTGAATAAACTCTGGAAGTTTAGATGCCAAACTTTTGGGGATTTTTCTTTCTTCTTTTCCTTTGTTCTTCTTCTCTCCTCCAGACACCTTCTGCATTCCCTTTGTTTTCCCTTTGCATATTTAAGATCAGATTGTGTTCAGCTCAGGTTTGCCTTTCAGAGGCAGCGACACAGCTTTTTGTGGTGTGGCTTCTGATTTAGGGACTGGAGCAACCAACAGCTCACTTGGACCTGTTGAATTCTTTCTCTGCTTGAAAAGTGTCTCTGGCAGGACAAGTGCACGGAACCTCCTGTTCCTGGGAATGCCTTTGCTGTCATGCTCACACAGCAGGAGCGGAAGTGGAGCAAAATTAAGATTTTTTTTTTTCCTGCAACTTCTCTGTTTTCCTAATTTACCTTTTTTGAACAGCTTCAGGCTATTGTTTGGGATTTTTTTTTTTTTTTTTTTTTTTTCTTTGTTTTTTTTTTTTTTTTTTTTTTTTTTTTTTTTGTTGCATGAGATTCCTGAGTCTTGTCCAAATTGGACTTCTGGGGATGGCTGTCAAGACAAGCTGTTACTGCCCTCTAAACATGGTGACATCATTCACTAGTTGCACGTACTTTGAGGTGTGTACTGAGACCAGGCGCGTCCTTTTAAAGTGTATTTGATGTATATCCTATGGATTTTCTTTTTCCTCTAGTGGTATTTAATAGGAAAATTTTGTTGTAGTGGTGCTCCTTGGAGTGGTTGCAGTATGCTTCTTTTGGTGATAAATGAGATTTTAAAATACTTGCATATTTATATATTTTAAAATAAATTATATTTCTTAAATATCATGCTATTTTTTCCAATAACAAGATCAAATTTTTTTTAAAAAATATATTATTTTCTTTATATTTTTCCTCAGTTTCTCCCCATTTTCTTATAAAACATATTTTGCCCTGTAAGAACTTGCTTCTTCAGCAGAGCTGAGCTTACTAAAATTTTACACTCTGGCTCTTTAGTTTCAAGCCCGAGCTCCTCAAAATCCGTAATTTTGTGCAGTTAATTGAGGAAGAGTTCCACGTGCTGCAATTCCATTCTGTTTCTGATTGACTCCATGCAATACTTAAGGTGAAGATGACAGCTCAGCTTGATCCTCCGTCAGGAGCCCAGAGTGCCACACCTCAACAAGACGTGGAAGGATTGGAGCCTGTGCAGAGAAGGGTCTGGAGCACCAGGAGCAGCTGAGGGAGCTGGGGAGGCTCAGCCTGGAGAAAAGGAGGCTCAGGAGGGACCTTCTGGCTCTGCCCAGCTCCCTGCTAGGAGGGGGCAGCTAGAGGAGATCAGGCTCTGCTCCCAGGGAACTACAGGACGAGAGGAAATGGCCTCAAAATGTGCCAGGGGAGGTTTAGGTGGGAAACATTTCTTCACACTGGAAAAGATGTGGCTGCCCCATCCCTGGAAGCATTAAAAGGTTAGGTTGGAGATGTTGAACAACCAGGTCTAGTGGAAGGTGTTCCTGCCCAGGGTAGGGGGTTGGATTAGATGACCTTTGAAGTTCCCTTCCCATCCAAATCATGCCATAATTCAATTTGTGCTCTGCCTGGAAAACTGTGCTTTATCCCTGCAGGGATATTTTATCCCATATCTAGGGAACTTGTTGATGTGAACTTGGAACAGTTTTCTCTTTAATTAAATTAGCTAGAAACATCTAGATGAAGTTTATGTTGTATTCCGAGCTTGTTTTTATAGACTGTAACCCTTAGAGGTGGGATGTGGATGGGATCATCACCTTGTAGTGGTACATGGTACAGCCTCTAAGCATCCTCCTCCATCCTCCTGAACCATGCTTCAGCTTTCTGGGGAGCTCTGATTGCAAGTTAATTTATTATATTTTGATAATTTTTTCTCAATTCTGCATAAAACTGCAAAAGTAGAAAAATCCTGCCTGCCTCAGGTATGCCCAGAGGTCCTCAGACAGGTATTAGATTAACCTTGGTCTAAAGGAGTCTGCACCAGATTATTTTACCATTGGTCGCTTTCTCAGCATCTCATTTGTCACAGGAGTAAAGCCATAGCAGCTACACACAGCAGATGTGTTGTCTGAGCAGCTGTTTATTTGCCTTTTCAGACATCCCAGTGGGGATCTCTCAGTTGCTTAATAAAAAAAAAAAAAAAAAGCCAAGAGCTGTGTTCCTGGGAGAGGCCTCAGAGTACAGGCAGTGGCCAAGGGGAGCTGCTGCTGCCCTTCACAGCTGATATGCATCTGCAGCATCTCTGCCAGAAAAAAAGGAATTGGTTGCTTGAATTGCTATGGAAAGAACTGCAGAGAGTTTTCTGTAGACATGGCCCTGCTATTTGCATTCCCAATGGTGGTGGTTTGCACAGGAACCTTAGGAACAGCAGCTGGAGTTGCTTTTTGGTTTCTGGAGCAATGTTGTGCAATGTGTGTGTTGTGGTTTTGTGGGGGAAGTCAGAGTTGCCACCTGAAGGCCTGGGAAGCTGAAAGCCTTTATTTTTTTTATTTCTTTAATCCTGATTATGGGGTTGTTAGAGGGAAATGCAGGCAGCATCTAGAAGATGTTGAATGTTATTTTCCAGGACTTTGTGCTAATGTGCAGGGTCCTTCCAGCTGAATCCATCCCTGGCAGCTGGAGGTGCAGCCCTGCGAGGTGTGAGCAGAACAACTCCACACTGCTGGAATTGCAGTGGATGCTGCTGAATGTTTCCAGAGCCAAACAAAGAACCATTGAGTCGAGTTTAAAAAATCAATTAACTGGAATGATCAGGCGTGTCCTGGACTTCCAGTAGGTTCGGGTAGCATTGGACAGCATAGAGGGGCCAGAGCTCCCTGTGTACACAGCTCTGCTGCTTGTCCTGTGTGTGCCAGACCTGGAGTTACCCGAGAGAGGACCCAGCTCCACTGGCAGATCCCACACCCTTAACTCCTGTACTGTGGAGTGCATAGGAATTAGGGTACCATTATTTGCCTGTGACAAGTAACATTTGCAAATGAACCTTATTCATATTTTTACCTGGAATAATGCTAATGGGATGTAA